GACTTGAACGATCAAATGGACCCAAATTTTGAATGTTAAATATTTGATCAAATAAAAGAATACAAATGCTAGTTAAGACTTTGAATTGTTCAAGTGAACATCAACAATTAAATAGAGGACTTATGGAATTCAACTTGAAGCATATTTGCAAGCAAGGATCAAATGAGAAATGACATTGATATGCACTTGAGTTTGAATGATTGAACCTAGACTTAAGCTAAGCTTGAGCTTGAAGCTGATTTGACTTAAGTAAATCATGACTTGAACAATATAAGATGAAGGAGCAATAATGAAACTTCATTTGAGCAATAACACAATGAAATCTCATGACTGCTTGCAAAGAGAGATCAACAAGATCTCTACCTAGAAGCTATGGCATGAAATCTCTAATGAACGTCAAAGAGCCATCATGAATTCCTTACCAAATGCAAATGTCATCAAGCAAGCTCATCATGCAAGATTTAAGTCATCTTCATATGATAGTGGAAGACTTGTAACATTCAGTATGGCTCATCCGTATGCAAATAACTATGCTCATCTGTTATAAACATAAGAGCAAAATGAGGTCAAATATATTCAACCTTACAAACAGAGGGGATTCGATATGCAACAAGTGCAAAGGGATACGAGCATACAAACTCCTATGAGCTATTATAAAAGATCTGTTGCACACCCAATGTGTAGTCCACAAGCAAACCTGAAGGAGTTCTAAATATGCCTACAATCAGTAGCATAGAGTTTCCTACAAATGAACATAGTGATGTGTATGATGAACGTGAACATTCACAAATGAACGTAAAAGAGTCCTCATTCATATAGCAGTCCTCCCACGGGTTGATAACTACTAAATATTAGACAATTATACTAAACCCTCTACAAGAATATGCAGAAGTATACAACAAGCGCTAGGGCATCCATAGAATCAAGATCAGAATACAAGCAAGCATATTCGACCTTGCAAGCTACAGGTAACAATGATTAGTGAAGATGTATTCAAAAATTTCAAGTGACCTTCTTGTAAGTAGAGATAAAATTAGAGAGATAACAAGAATATTACAACACTCCGACAATCAACATCAAGATGCAAGTAAACATATTGATCTGCATACAATCAAGAGTGAAGATCTGCAATATATACAAGTTCCCTATGAATACAAGTACATACACCATATGCCATCTGTGGGTAGATACAGAAAGACTTCAGTAAATACAATATCCTGTAGTCAATGCCAATTTGTGAATAAATTGATCTACCTGCATACATGTAACAGTAGCGGATATACTGTAAGGACCAAAGATTGTGGTAAAATCCATAAGGAGTGTAGTAGATGTAAATGCATGTGGGCTACTGAAAGAGACCCGTTGTGCACCTAACACGCCATCGGATCTTCAAATTTCGTACAAGCAGACAGAAGGCATTTACAAATATTTTTAAAAATACCCCCAGCACATGCACCATAATTTGTATACACATAGGTACACAAAAAGGGGGGTATGCAGTCACCACACCTGCATGGGCCCCGGATCACGTATTTTCGATACACACATTACGTCTAGGGATGTTGCGCGAGTCAATAAGTTTGAACCCGATCCTCCTAAGCAGATAGATAGGAGTCGACAAGGTTCAATCAATAATTATAAAATGCCTCCAAACACCCGCATGGGCTTTGATGAACGTGCTATTGGTACACATATGACATCTAGGGATGCTGTGTGTGTCAATAAGTGAATTCAGGTTCAAACCCGATCCTTCTATACGAATTAGTAGGAGTCGACAGGGTTCGAACTATCAAACAAATATACGATTGCGGTGACGGGTATTTTGTTTTAATACATTCATGTTAGACCTTCAAGGCTTGTAACAATGAGAATTCACTAATAAAGACATAAAATATGCAAAACCCGATCCTCTGTCAACAGCTCGACAGAGTCGACAAGGCTTAATTAACAAAAGAGAAATAACCTCATATACCCCGATGATGGCTGTGTTGAATGAAGATCTTAACCGGAGGGGTTCAAAAATATTTTTTTTAAATACCACCCAAATGCTCATGAAAACTTCAAAACTTCACAAAGATTTTCAAAATTCTAGAAATTCCAAAATCTAGAATATTTAAAATTGAAATTCAATCATCAATCACTTAAAGCAAAACTCATCCACCCTCCGCAATAGTTTGCCGGGTAGACAAATTAAAATTTACTTCAGCTCACACAGAGCTAATGCCTAGTCGAAAACAGCACTAAGATCCATTATCAAACAATCTCCTGCCAGTAAGGACATGGTACGTGTCCTCTAATCGGCGATTTTGCCGCCAAATGGCACTGCAGGATAAACGGTTATGACCTGGGGCTCTCTGAACCGAGTGATTTTGCCGCTAAATAGCACCACAAAATACCGGTTATGGCCAGAGCCAATATGCTCTTTATTGGCATCAAATCCTTCAGATATGAATCAATAAGATATGATCGATAGGGCATAAACCCCTTTGTTAGCTAAGTTGGATTCAAATTTGTCCCCTTAGGTAGGGGTGTCGATTTTAGGTCACGGGTCGGGTTCGGGTCGAACCCGGAACTGACCCGGGGTTCAATCGGGTCAACCTTAACCCGACCCGGGTATGCAAATGGGTCGAAAACATGGACCCGGACCCGACCCGTCGGGTTGTCAGGTTGATCCGACCCGACACAGGACGCGAGCTCTGGCGCGCAGGCCGGCGAATGCAGGGAGTGCGGCTGGTGTGCGGAGGACGCGGGCGCGCGGCTAGCGCGAAGGCAGGGCATGGTCCGAGTTGCGGTCGCGTGGCCAGCGCGGGAGGCGTGCAGGTTTGCGTCAGCGCGTGCGCGTGCGGAGTTGCCCGCGGCGGGTGCGAGGCGCGCCGCGGGCGAGCGCGAGCGTGAAGGCAAGGCAGGCACGTGTCGGGGCGCGGGGCAGCGGGCGGCGTGCGGGGTCGCGGGCAAGCAAACTGGCAGAGCCGGGTCAGCGGCGGGGTATGCAGGGGTCGCGGGTGCGGGCAGGGCGCGTAGGCGCTTGTGCAGGGTCACGGGAGGAAGGCGTGCGGGGTCGCAGGGGCAGCAGGAGACCTTGGCAGCGTCGAGGGTGCACCCCTCGGAAGCTCATTTAAACGGGATTTTCCGAAGTTTTGATCCGCCAATCCCGTCGGGCCAACGCGAACCCGAACCACGATTTTTCAGCAGAACGGGTCGTAATCTCGAGGGGAAGCACAAACCCCCGAACCCGTTTATGAAATCGGTAGAGCTCTAAGGTACCCAAAGCCACGAATTTTTCGGGTTGGGTGCATTGGGTTTGCTTTTTTTCGTGTCTGTGTGCATAGATATTGGACACAACGCGTACACCTTAGGCAAGATACCATCCCCAGGATCTACAGAACGGTCCCCTGTTCGAGACGCTAAGCTAACCCGTCGAATTATCCGTACAAGGATCCTTCTGTCAGGTTGGCGACGACTCTACCTCTTTGACTAAAGTAGACTAGAGACCCATTGATGGCCCGGGATGATGGAACCATGGGATATTGTTCGGGGTCCCATCCATCCGTTCCTACCCGAGCCAGTCGTTCTGCTTAAGTCGCAAGATAGCGTGAAATTTCTATTTTAAATATCAAATCTGTTCCAACTACTTCCTAACTGTCTCAATTCTCAAGAATCCATCGCTGGCTCTGACTATTGCCAGATAAGAAACATAATCTCTATGTATCTGGATGGAGCGACTAGCCTTAATCGGTTCTCTACTCCGTTATTAGGTCCTGCAGGGTGTCAATCTAACTTCATATCGGGGCTTCGTGCCTATAGGAAATCAGAACTCAGATAATTAAAGCTCTCGCAAAATGCAGAATCGGCGATATCTCTAAGTAGTGCTCCTTTTCTATAAACTCATACTGCCTCTTCCAAAATTTACCTCGAAACTTAATTCGTTAAAACTCCCCATGAAAATGAAATAGCAACAGAGGGCGGAGGTCGGGGCCGAATTTTCGGAGCCCACAATATTATATTTACATTCCGAAATCCACTAACCATTCCAACCATTCACAGCCATTAGATCCCATCAGCTCTATGCATGTTACAGTACAATATATATATATATATATATATATATATATATTGAAGTTTATGCTAAGTAAATACTTTAAATAATGCTCAGTAGTTAGTGTGTAATTTAACTGTTCATTTAATCATAAACAATAAATAATTAACTATACAATTAATTAAACAAGTAAAGAAAGAATTTACCTATACTTCTATATGTCAAAATGTTCGGGATTAAAAGTAGAATTTAATGAAAATAACGGAACATTTATAGAAAATTTATACTTATATTTATTTTTGGCATTTTTGGGTATTATAGCCTCACCCCCGCGCCCCACTAGCCATGTTGAACTCGCCTGCTTTGCTCGTCCCGGTCAGTCGTGTGTGTGGGGTTGGGTTGACCAGGGTTTGGGGTGGGTCGGTCTAGGTTCATATTTCTTACCCCTTTGTGTAATCTAGTTGGGTTCGGGTTGGATGAATCGAGGGCAGGTCAGTTTCGGGTTGGACCCGAATCTGACCCGAAAACCCATTTTGACACCCCAGCCAAAATAGATAGAAGAGAGGGTTCTGCAAATTATCAAGATGCTCTTGATGATGTATATAATTCCTACGATGTGGCCCTTTGATTTGCTTTCTAAACTGGAATGCAGATAAAATTACAAAAATTATCAACTATAATACTTCATCTGCATGTGTTATATTTTGAATGCAACTGATATTGCAGCTTCAATTTCTTAGTAATTGCCTTCCAATTACATAACATGTTTGCTGAGTATGTTTTTTGTTAAGGGGCTTTTAATAAGAAGATAAATTTGAGGGTGACTTGCATGATCTCGATGTTGAGATGTTCATAGTGCAATTTGCACTGCATATGATTCTTGAATACGTTGTGCTTTTGCTTTGTTACTGTTATTGAACTTATTTTTTCAGCAATCTAACTGCTGCCACCTTTTTTGTAATAGGCGATTGCATTTTTTGAGCAAACCCAGTTTAAAGGAGGTATGCTTCTGGAGTGAATATCAATAAATGAGTTGTCATTATTGTAACAGTAAGTGATAATCTCAATGGTCTGACAGCACATAATTACTATTGATTTATATATAGGAGAAAACTAATTGAAGTTCTACAACTCCTACAGTACTAATCTTAAAAAATCAGACGGAGCCTTAAACTCATCATTATCATTAATATCAAAGGGCTAATTATAAATTCAACTTTGAGAGAGAGAATTAAAAAAAAAAAAAAAAAAGTTTGAGAGAGAGAATTCTTATCTTCATTATGTAATTTCTAATCAACATTCCAAAGTTCCCTGTATACCACCGTGAACTACACAATCATCCATGCATTTTCATAAAAAAGAATTAACATTTCAGAGTCTTTTACCTCAAATCAATCATACAGCTATAAAAAAGTGTTAGGGTTAGTTTATGTTCATGGGGAAAGTGGTACACCTGCGAAAGCTTAGGCTATATGAAATTTTTATGAGATAATTTGGAAGGATTGAAAACTTGAATTATATCTCCCAAACCTCAATGCATGCCTACTATTTTGGTTAAAAATAACCGAACATGGTTAGAGGTTGTAGTGGTTTTGACATGGAAGATTCGTGGTAGTTTTAGATAATCATAAAGCTTACAGGGATTGAAGAAAATGCACATTATTTTTGTAGATTCATAAGAAAAAATAATACCAACTGCAAATTAATGTGAACACTAACAATTATAGGTATTGGTGTATGTAATGTTTAAATTAGTTTGCTGATTCATTACCGCTCCTTGAGCATAGTCTTAACTCCTGTTTACTCGCTTGGTGATCTCATGAAAACAGTGATTCTTATATGTTTTCTACATCCAGAATATATTGATGACCAAATGTTATGCTTGTCAGTTCTGGACAGGTATAAATTTGGCAATATCTATGCCTGTTATTGATACTGAGATTGAAAATAGAATCTCTGATTTAATCAAATTTTGCTGGGAATTGAATTAACCTTTTTCTTGTCCTTCATATCTCGAATGGAGTATGCAAATAGTTGTGTGATGGTATAGGATGTTATCCATTCATTTTCTACTCTCATTCCAAAACTTAAGCAATTGATTGTTAACTTTCTACCCCAATATTTCCCATACATAACCACTACTCTTTGTTATTTTCGAAGGGGACCTACCAAATTAGAAATAAACTATTTATTCCCAAGTTTGAAGAATATTGCTAGAGAGAGGTTTATTAAATAACATAAGTAATGGTTCAAGATGTATGTCTTAGAAGAATAAAAGGTAACAACTGAAATAAGACTGCTGCTATTGTGGATGATACTTAATCATCCACGTTATATTAAGACATTTATGCTTCAATTGCACTTTTTTCTGGGATAGAAAACACCAGAAATGATCTTTTTTTTTTTGCAGAAGTTTATGCAGATCCAACCCACTCATCTTTTGATGCTCTCAATTTTGCTTATGGAGTATCAACAACCTTCACTCCTAAGGTACCTTATGAATACTATATCTTATGTTGTTGGTGCCTTAAATATGGGATTCATTATTGTTCTAGTATGACGGATTATGATGCAATGGATTAAATGCTTAATGACATCTCAGGCTGGTATGAAAATCATCGAGTCTTATCTTGAAGGATATAGGCAAGACTGGGGACTTTCATTTAAAGAGAATACGAGGAGCAAAGGTGGTTGGTATGTTTAGTTCCTGCTTGATCTTTGTTGGTTTTTTTTTTTAATTTACACTTGACATTAAATATTTATGCAAAATTATTTCTCATAGGCTGAAAAATGAATGACAAAAAGACCATCAATTACAACATTGTTATGATAAAATAAATATTATTAAAAGCATGTTTTTTGAGAAAATCAAAGTGTTGTGTTGGCCTTGTGCATCATTTGTTTTTGAAGTACAAGCTTATAATAAAACACAGGTATTCGCACTAATTCGTGCTTGAATTGAACACAAAACAATGTCTTGGTTTAGATTTCAGAATTCGGTTAAACATATGGAGATACTTATTCTTTAGTTCTTGTTGGTGCTGATTGCTTCTCTCACAAGTTTTTTCTTGAAAATGTTTTTCGATGTCTCGTCTTACACGCTATTCGCTTCAAGCCCCTTTTACCTCTTAATCTTTTACTAGTCACACAATTTCACGAGTATTCTTTTTTCATCACTTCATTATTTATATTTTTATTTCTTTTCATATGGTTAGAAATTATTATTATTGAATGCATCTTATTTACCAAAAATTATTACATGCGTGGTTTAATTTTGCCAAATTAAATGACTTGTACACATAATTTTTATATGTATGATATACAAATCATGGCTGTTCTGGTTAATAAAAGTGTTGTTTCGTTTTGCTCATTGAATCAAAAAGAATATTGTGCTTCGCATTACACTTAGTGCTTTAAAGCTTTATTATTAATAATTCATATAAAATTGTAGATGTAAACCACTGATGATATTATTTTCATGTCGTCACGACCCTGATCTAGCCGATTTGAGCCTGATTGGGCTCGATCGTGCTTGATAAACTCGATCAAATGCCGTAAAAAAATTGACCCAAATCGAGCCCTAATTTAATCAAATTAAATTCAATTTAAGCAAATTAAAGTCAAATTGATCGAAACGATCCAAAATCGGTCCAAATCGAACCCAATCGAGCCTCATCGAACCTTGTCGAACCAAATTCAATGTCGATTTGAGCCTATTTTTGCAAATTCGGCTCAATCGGATCCAGCCGAACCCAAATAAACTCAAATCAGTTTAAGTCAAGTCTAATTCGGGTTCAATTTCAAACCACATCAGCCAATTTAACTTCTTGGCCTTTCCTAATTATTTTTTCTTATCAAGAAATTTGATCATGATGGTAAGGATTCAAAGATCGACTGCCAAAGGTTGCATCTCGCCTGATTTCAGCGATTGTAGCAGGATATCGCGACAGAAGATTGCATTGGGCAGAGAAGTCCTCGTTTTCATGTATACGAAGAGAGGGAGGCGAGCTGGGGTCTTTTTTGATCCATCTTCATGTGTGCAAGCCGAGTGGAATAGAGTCCTAGTCTCCTAGAGAAATGCTTGTGAAGCAAGTGTGGAATATTCCATGACTTTCCAAATCCCATGGATCATATTCCATAATACATAGAAATTATCTAAGGATGATTAGCGCAATTTGCAAACCAATAGGTTGGGTGTAATGATATCCAAATTGAGCATATGATGAAACTAATAAAATGATAAATCACATGCTTACATTTCTAGGATTTCTAGATCATATAATAATAGATTTTAAAATCTCCTAGAAGCTATACGAGTGAACCTTTCCCTCTCCAAATTGAGTTTAAAACACTCTAAAAGATAAGAAAATTCTTCTAAGTGCATATCTCTCTCATGAATGATGATTTAAGATTTCTCAAGCCTTTAAGTATATTGTCACATGAGTTTCAACCTTAGGTCCAGTCTCCTCCCTCATTTGTTGAAGCATAAAATTAACAAATGAATAATTTCTCTCTCATGCATGAAGTTTGGAGTATCCACAAGGCTCTAAATACTTTATTGCATAAATCCTAACATCCCTTAGGAGCTATTGTCGCTCTTCCTTGTGTATGGTGTTGTGAATTTTTCCAAAATACTCAACATAACATAACACATCTTTGGAGTTTTCACCTATCATCCTTCAAGTATGATATTTTTGGAGTCTTCCTAAAGCTCTAAACATTTTCACATGAATCATCAAGACTTTAGGAACAAACCTAAGTCACCCTTTCATTTGCTAATAACACAAAATTAGCAAATGAACATTTATCCCTTTTCATGAAAAATGATTTGAGTTTCCTCGAACCTTCAAACATAACATTAAATAACCCCCCGGGCCTCTTTGAATCCCTAAAGGTTCAAAGAAATTTATGGTGGCTTACAATCTAAATATATGTCACATTTTTATATTTACCTAACACAAATTGGGTAGATTATAATCTTTTCTTTGAACTTTAAATGTTCAAAGAACTTCCTCCAAGTTGCAACTTCCAAGTTGCGTCTTCTTCCTTATTTCCTATAAGCCAGGATTGTAGGAAACCCACCAAATCCTCCTTTTGCATAGCACCAAATATGGAAAATGAATAATTCCTTCTAGTAAGATGAGTAAATCTCCCAATTGGATCGACTAATGAAAATCGCTCCGCGACCTCCAAGTCTTGATTTTCTTTTTCTCCCTCACATTTCTCTCTAAATATCTCAAATCTTGTTTTGTTCGCCGAAATCAAAATGAGACTAATGGCTTAACAAAGAAGCAAAGAGTGCTTTTAGATATTATAATAAAATAATAAAATAATATTAATAATACTATTTAATTTAATCAATTTTCAAAAGAAAATTCACATGAATCTATTTGGGATATTAAAAATTATAAAAAATATTCATAAAATAATACCTTTTATTTAAAAAATATTGGTGAAATTAGTTTGCAAAATAGACACCTAACGGTTCCAAAATCCTCACTTGTACCGACAGGTGCCAATTTTTTAAGGATTTTCACCAGTGCCCAAAAATTACGAAAAAATTTGTGTAAGTAAAATACTATAATAATAATGCTATGACGAAGACGGTTTGCAATTTGGAGTTATATTGTCTCCAGGAAAAAAAATTAGCTAGGTTAAAATACAGGTTATTACATAATAAATCAGAAATAAAAATGTTTACATAACAGGTGCTACTTAAAATCCCTAATGAGATGTGGCCAATAGGGTAGAAGTAGGAGCTTCACACTTCAAGTGCCAAGTAATTCTAGATGTGCATTTTTCATACTTTATATACATACATGCTCCTAACCCTCTATATTGTTTTTTTGAGTCTTTTCATTTCCAAAATTTATTTGATTAGATTTAGGTTGTATGTTAAATTTGTGGTTTTCAGTCAAAGAAGAGGTGGATCAAGAGGATGTACCTATTAAAGGTGAAGCCTCAGGTTTGTCTAGAAGCCTGTGCTTGAAGACCCCCCCACAAGTAGAGTACATAATAAAATTTGACTGAATTGTAATGGCAGGCAACTCAGCTGTTAAACTTGGTTATAATAATTTGGACATTAACACTTCTTTTGCTTAATTTACATATATATACACGTGTTTATTCATTTCTGGGTGTGCAATAGAAGCATGATTTTTTCTATGTTTCTTTTGTTTTTCTTGGGAGTGGCATGGACTTTTGTTGCAGTAGTCTCATAGAACAAAATAAGGTTTCTACCAACTAAAATATAAACAACCTGAAGTCAATCTTAGGCTTCTTATTTTTCTAAATATAAGAAAAGTTGCATGGCTTCCTTCAATGAGTCAAATTTTCTAAAATTAATATGATCATGCATAGCATAATGTATCACATATAGAAAGCCTCACTTAAGGATTAGATAACCAAAATTTGGCATTTATGAGTCAGCATTTTGCATAAGCTTCATGGTTAGGCATCTTGGCGTCAAAGTCAAGTTGTAAGTTATAACTTCTAAACAAAATAACATTTCCTACTCTTCATATATATTGAGACCGGATTTCATGATTTTAAAAGTGTTTGGTGGGTTAGCTGTAGCTCTTTTAGGCAAAGCAATAAATCTAGAGGTCGGGCTAGCTATGCCTCAGGTGAAGTGTAGTTTATAAGTCTTTTTGCACTCCTTTAGACTTAGGTTCGAGGCATTATCTCTCGGTAGTCCTCATCTTAGTTTTAAGTTCCGATGAAGATGTTGATTTCAATCACTTCATAACCCCTTATCTTTATGGCATTTCTTCTAAAACATGTTATTGGAATATAAGCCCCAACATATAAATTAAAATCATCAATCTAAACAAAATTTGATTCTAAAATGTAAAACTCAACATAGGATAATTTGAGTGCCTCTGAGTTTCCCTCATAATCAAGTACTACGCTTCATTCCTTTGGCTTCCATTTCAAATCAAATTAAAGTTTGATCTCCTAATCTTTAAATAAGAATTTCATGATTTTAAAATGAAGGAAACCTCTAGTTTAATCAAACGTTTTCTCAAATAACAAACATTTGAGATATTATTAATCATAGAGGCTTACTCCTATGGGGCATCCAATATCCCAGAATAAAAAAACCTCATTCAACAAATATTAAATAGAGGAAAATCTCTATTTAAAATTCAGATTGTAAATTTTATTATTGATTCCATATGGAAATGATATTTTTGACATTTGAGAAAATATATCATTTTCTATGTGGTGCTGGATCACACAAATATGTAATCCATTGAGGATGTCAAAATTTCTCCAACCATCACTATGGAAAAAAAAGATAGTTGTATACTTGCCTCCTATATACCCTTTAGCCAAATATGGGTACACGTCTGATTGTAAAAAAAAATAAAATCTTTCTTGGCAATGTTTTCTCTTTAGTCATATCTCTCTCTTTATATGCCCCTTGTTTTGTTTTTGCATGCAAAAGGTTAAATTAGCAACAAACCAATAGTCAAAGCAGATTCCCAGATCAAATGTAGTACTATTTTGGGCTGTTTATCTTCCATATTTACTAATTCGTTTCTTGGAATATATTCTTGAGAGTGCTCATAATTTGGCATAACTGTCAATCTTTGCTTTTCAGGCTAAGTGTAAATTGCTAAGTCATAATTTTGTTTTCAGATGTATGTCTGTTAACCTCTGCATAATACCCAAAGGAAATAAAATTGAAA